AGCTGGCATTACAACTCCTCGGAAATCACAAAATAACGAAATGAAAATTGGGCACTGTTGGACTGATCATTGCGAAAAATTTCTGACTCTACAATGTGAATCCATTGGTATGTTTAGCCCTCATATTTTGAACGAATATACAGTAAAACATTCGAATAAGAAAGAAATCAATTTTGGTATCCTCTGGATCTTGACATGTCATAATATTCTATGAGAGACTCCATTTACGAAGCTCATGTTCACAAAATTACGAAGTGGGAGAATGTACGTCACCATTCGATGTAATAACTGTGAATTTAAGCGCAACGTGATATTTCCAATTCGGTACCCGTTGTTGAAATCGTAGATGGTATGCCAATTAATCTTGACGACAGAAATCAATGGATATATATTTAATCAATTTATAGAAAATCCGTCTCCATACGAATACCGTACAATAGCGTGCTGAGTATGGAGCCTACCAGTGATATTCCTTAGATCGACCTACCAGATTCTGAATAGCCGGTTTGAGGAAAATTGATACGCAAGCTGATAAGTCTAGAATTGGAAGCATTTTCGGATCGACACTTTATTAGTCTGATGAAGGCACGTCTAAGTCGCATGAACCAGTGTGAGGTCTTGCATTTTGAAAAAGGAGTCCGTCCATACCTTATAAATGAAACAGTGTTTGCCCACCGAACACTCACCCTCTGTTATGATAAACCAAAGCCTGTGTGCAACGTTTAGAACGAGGTGATGAGCGACTGACATGACATCCTGTAAGAATCGTCTGTCGCAAGTTTTAACGTCAATTTGCTAGTCACCGTATATTTCCGAGTTTTCGACATGTGATGCGGCTTGCTGTTCGATGTATCGTTAGTGTCGTGATGATGTCATTCCCCTCCTACATAAACGAAATGACAATAAAGTACCAAGGTTTGAATTGCTTGGGGCCTCCAACAACGAATTGTGAATGTATCTTCAATAAGAATGATTTGTGTTCCACATACGTGCGAATGACGTGATACTTTTCCCCTTGTAAAAGCTGTAACATTGAGATGCTGCACGGTCACAAACTTTTCCTCTTTAGAATTTAAACAAGGCCTTTTCTCGCTGTAATAGAAAAGCAGCTAGCGGTGGAAGGAGAAAATAGATTGAGGCACGATAGAATGAATGCTCCTGAGCTGTCACAGTGTACCTGAAGATGTCTTCTAAACCTTAAAGGGGGCTGACATTGCACTGACTTCATTTGAAGCAAGTAAATTTACAAATACGACACTGAAAATCCATATGCTAATGAAATGGTACTGAGTTCATACTACGGAGAAGCCAGTCAAACATCAGTATTACAGAAAGACAAACGTAGGGAAGGACGGAATAACACGGCACACAACACTGGTTTCTTGTTATGTTCATAAGAATGGTCTGAAAACCATTGCTGTGAACTCTATGCATCTTGGGGTTTAAAATTTACATGATGGAATAAGTTTGTGGCGAATTTCTTGAACTGAACGTTTGCCTTTGATTATATAATCCGTAAAATGTGACCTCTTTCGGTTTGACTTAAGAACAAACGGACCATCTGCCCACAATGCCTAACAAGCGTTGACAAAAACCCAAACCATTTGCCAAACCGATTCGAATAGAAGCCATAAAAATGACCCATGTATCCTGTTTACACATAAAGTCGTAGTACACAGGACAACTGACGAATGATGGATGGATGTCAGTAATGACTCGCTGATACCCAAAAGCCTGCATAGGTGCATTTAAAAGAACTCCGCTCTGGAGGGACTGCGAGGCAGCGGAGAGACGCGTAAAATGAGGTGACAGATGGCAAGATATAAACAAGCAACGAACGATCAGTCATTTGTTATTGTTGCAAATACCGATTATTCGAAATGCACTACTGCAGATTAAAGTTACTGTAATTCACAAAACAATTGAAGCATCATAAACATTCGTGTTTCCCTAATGCCAATGCAGATGTGACGACTAAGGATTGACGCATTGCGTGGGAGGCGAGATCACGTGGCAGTATTCGGAAAATTCAATTGTTTTTCAGTTGAATTTCTTCCATTAAAAACCTGAGTCCTTGTGTTTGACACCTGCGCATGGTGTATATAAGAGGGCAAAATCGAGGGAAGGGTGTATGTGAGAATCAGCAGACCAGAAACATGTTTTCGATACTGCTGTTGTTGGCTGTTTCGTCGACTTTCGCGGCACACTATGAGGAAGAATTCCTGAAGATGAAAAGCCATCTTTCAAAAATGAGGGCTGACATGAATTGGGAGGTAAAGTACAATAATACCTTTTTTGCTATCTTCAAAGCTTCATTTTAGTTTGGACTAAATAGTCGATTCAATGGAATGTCTGAAGAGGAAATGAGACAACTGAATGGTGACAATTTCGATGCGAGTGGTAGCTATCCGGTGAAAGAAGTCAGCACCCTCGGTGATTTGCCGGAATCTTTCGACGCACGGCAGAAATGGCCAAAATGCCAGTCGATGAGACTCATTCGAGACCAGTCAAAATGTGGCTCCTGCTGGGTATGAAGGAAGATAATTTACTCGTATCCTCATGTCCATAGTTTAGGCCGTATCATCTGCTTCCGTGATGTCTGATCGTCAGTGCGTTATTTCTGATCAAGAGGACCAAACCTACATTTCGGATGAATACCTTTTATCCTGTTGTCCGAACTGTGGTTCCGGGTACAAATATTTACAAATACAAATATATACATCAATAATTTCATAAATCTAACGATATATAGATCATTAATTGCACTACTATCGAGTGAATGTTAACTTGTCCTCAGGCAGCTACAATAATCGAAGAAGTGGTCGATGACATTACAGCTGAAGACTGGGGAGCGGCAATTTCCGATGCATATGTTAGCAAAGACGCATCAAGCGTACATTCATTGGTTTCATTCTATCGCTGTTAATTTCGATTAGCCGTCAAAATAGATGCATTGGAGCTACTAAAATATCCATAGTTTTATGCCAATAAGATGTGTCCCGTTGGGTCAGTACAAACGTTCAACAGTGCCTCATCTTCATCTGGTGAAATTGTTCGTCGTTGTCAACTTGGTGGTCATTTTTCCTGTAGCTTTCACAGGAGACTGTGCTCTGATAGCATCATGATGGTAATCAAAAAATATTACCGTATTTTTACAGTACTTTTCCCTTGATATAAAAAGGCAACGCGCTAATCTCGAATTACAGCCTTATGAAGTCTGTCATTGATGGTCCTTCTAGAAAGATTTGGATTTCTGGTGTCGTGTCCCAATCCATACTCCTTATCCCGGATGAATCTTTGACGGAAAAGGACGGAGAGATGGCAAGAACAAGCAAAATTTAAATGTAAATGGCTTTCCACAATATTCAGCTCCATTCAGTCACCAAAAACAAGTTTATTTGACCCTGACTTTTCAATTGTCATTTTCTGCTTATAAGCTACTTTAATTAAATGACGGTGTCTTTCAACTCAGCCATTACTGGCTTCTTACGTTGACTGTCTTTGCATGCATTTCTAATACGATGGCACCGAAGAGCAGAGAATATGGTAATGTGATATGCCCGTACTTTTTTTGCTCTGGTTAATGAGAACGAGTACATATATTCTGACCAATGAATGCCGGTTGACCAAAAGAGCGCGCTTTTTATGAGGTATGTCTTCCACTCACATTGAGCTAATTTATCGACGCAAGTTTCCCAAGGAAATTGCATGCCGTTTAAAACGTATGTCTTAAATTGCCCACCAGTGTGAATGATGCAGTACTTTAAGACGGTCAAGAGTGGTGTCAAAATGCTGAAGATTCCATTACAGTGTATGAGGAAGCAGGACTTGCGTAAACATCAGAGCACTAGAATTTTCCAACTAAAGAGTAACAGTCATAACTTGCTTGTTGACGTGAATGTTCTGATTGAACAGCATTTATGACCTCTTTGGAGCTGATCGTATTCAAGAGTACATCTGAAATAGTAGCTTCGCTGAAATATCACAACAGCCTCCTGCCAATTTTAACTTTGCACTTTGGTTCACAGACTTGGACAAGCTGATATGCTTAAATTGAATTCCCTCTTAGCCTTTGAGTGAAGTCGTCAAACGGTTTCTTACATTTATTTACCAAAATTTCAAATAGAAACGAATTAATTAGCTCATATCAGATATTTCTCTATCATGGTCAGAATCGCTGTGAAGAAAATTTAACCATTTTTCCTTTTTCATTCGTTTGAATATTTTACCAAATAAAGTTAAGATAAGCTTTCAAACGACCCTATATGGAATGCTCTAAGCTGATACGTTGATTAAGAGTTTCTTTCTCATGGAGCATTTCTGTTGTTTTCGTACCTTTAATTGTTAGAAAGCCTCTTTCGACATCTAGCATCGCGGGATCCTTACCTTCAGTTCTTCAAAATGTTGCATTAGTTTTTTTGAAATGCGCAAAAACCCTGATCAATGATCTGA